TCAAAATAATATCATTTTAATTTAAAAATAATTAATGAGTTACAACCAGGTTTTTAGCTAGATTTTTATAAATTAATTCAGATTTTTTACTTTTTTTTATTTTTTTAAAAACTTGTCTAATTAGTCCAATTTCAATTCTAGATTAACATATTAGACCGGGGATTTTAATGATGGCTCTGGATAGCGTTTTGTGATTTCGATAGATCCTTTTTGGCAGATGATGGGAAAACCAAAAGGGTAACCCTAGCTACTTCAAAAGTTTTGTAAAGGAAGAGCGATGAGGATGACAAGTTAGAAAACGAATCTGATGAGTCTAATAAAGATGATGCTTCTGGAGAGAATATAGTCATTGCTTCCAAAAAGCCATCCTTTATAGCTAGAACAAAAGAATCTAGCTAAAACAATATCATACTGAAATTTAGGCACTGGATTTAGAAATTCTGCATCAAAATATCTTTGGTGAATTAAGATTTAATATATTTGGAAATTGTATTTATATTGTCTATTCCTTTGATATAGTCAATTTTAATTTCTGCAGAGGGACGGGGCACTTTCTTTATTATTATTATTATTATTTTTATAGGGACGGGGCACTTTCTTTATTATTTTTAGCATTATAATTATTATTATTATTATTATTTTAATTGTTTAGATTTTTTAGAATTTGAGGAGTTTCTAGCAAATCCAATGTTAAAGATGGCAAAGCCATAAGTCGGTACTATTCATACTCAAATTTAAATTCAAAATAACTACTCGAACCCAACTTGAATAGGTATGGATTTTTTATATCCAAACCTGACCCGATCGGTATGGGGTATTCATAACCCGAATCTGAATGTTATCATTTAAAACTATATATGTAATTTTAGGTTCTTGTTCTGTGTAAAAGGAGATGGTTGGTTATTATCAATAATCATGCTACTTACTCGTGGGAAATGATACAATGATGCTGAGTAGGAGTAGAGTGATAACTATACTGAAACTTGAGAAATGATTCAGCATGGATCATAAAGTGGGGCATTTGCAGGAAGTTTCTTCCATGCATAAATGGATGACAATGTTGTATTCAAAATGTCTATTCCTTGTTTAATACTTGACAGTTAACTTAAGTCCAAGTTTAATGCCAGACAGTTAACTCAAAATTAAAATGTCTATTCCTTTTTTACCTGATTTCTCAACATTTGGCGTTCAAACTTTGGAAGATTTTCAGGTAAAGCCTTCAATCTGTCAACGCCACAAGCTTAACTATAATTTCTATTCTTTCACATCAAACCTGATCACTTCTCAACTTCCATGTATCTTTCCATTGGAGGATGAAAAGTAGTTCTGGTTTGAGTCTTTATTGAAGCTTCTATTTTTCTCTGTGAACCATGAGATCTGACACTTGAAGCTATCTCAGCATTGCTTTTTTCTTTTCTTTTCTTTTTTTGAGGAAGAGGGGAAAGGAAGAAAGCCTTGGATTGCCTATGTACTGCTTTGAGGGAATATAACCTCAAATTAGGCACCATTTAGAGCTTTGCCTGAGTTCAGGGAATAGCAAGAAGGGGTTTCCACTCAGCTTTCTCTCACATATTAAGCTTGTCGAATCACTTTTTCTGGGTTAACATTTGTACTTCAATCTCAGGTAGTTCTTAATACCCCAACCTGATGTGGGCAGATTGTGAAAATAAACATGTCATATCAGTTTGGTTTGCACCTAAACATTCTTTATTCTACATGAACTTAACCTCGAGTCTCTGGATTATGATACTATATAATTGAATTTTGGCAGCTCTTGGCTTTTACAGTTGAAAGGTTTAAACTTCAGATCCTTTGGCATTATCTCTCATAACGCTTAGCATGTTTACAGGCTAGGTTAGATGGAGAAGACATAGGCTATGGTTTTAATCGAGATCTCAAACTTATTAGTGAGGTCCAAGCCCCATCTCGCAGTTTTGCAAGATTCTTTTATGCGGCATTCTCAGCAGCTGCAGGTATTTCACTGTTGTTCACAATTCCAAGGCTTTTTCGTGCTATTAAAGGTGGTGGTGATGCCCTGACCTCTGGGAAACTGCTGGAAATGCTGCCACCAACACTGGAGGTACCTTTGTCTCTCATACATAAAAACTGAGCTGGATTGATCTATACTATAGTTGGTGAGAGAACCTTTGAATTTAGTTCTTTTCCTCTGTTTACTTGTATAATTGATGAGTGCACTGATTATGATCATTGACTGACCCTTGTAGCTTGGTTCTAAAAGGACCAGGGTTTTGAATCAGCAATCTACAGGCATCATAGTTCTTGGGGCATTATTTTTCCGGGACAATAAGATAGGGGAAGAGCAACTTGCAGAGATTACAAAAGACGAAACTCTGTCAAGCTTGCCTTTGCACCTTTCCACAGATCAGGTTGTTAAACTTGTCCAGCCTCGAGACACTGTTAGACCAGATAGTAACAAGACTTTTTTGTTCTTTACCCATCAAATTACATACATGTGGTCTCATAATTACAAACTTAATAACAACAAAGTACTTTCCTGCACTTTTTATTTAATGTCTGGTCTGAATATATGAACAGATAGCTATGAAAATATTGCCTTGTCCTCCATTCTAAATAAGGAGAACACCATCTGAAAGTGCGCCATAATATTGTATCGTGATACTTTCTGCTGTGTTGAAGTGATTGAAACAGTTAAGATTGTTAGCTCCACTTTTACCAGCCAGCTACGTATCTCACTTTCATAACATTTTGCAGCATCTTATTTTAGCATCCAAAATATTGTCTGTTTAATGCCCTAAATTATGTGGCTTGGGTTTAAGGTGGTTTTAGCAGGGAAAGGAGACCGTTTCCCCGGCCATGCAGAAAGCCGAGAGGTTCTGAACTGAGGTCGTCCCGCAAGGTGCTCTTTTACTTCCTGTTATTTGGGGTGAAAGCAGGGCTCCTGAAGTAGAGAAGAAAGGGTTTGGTGTTCCTCAAAAAGCAGCTACCCCTCTTCCTTCCACTGGGGTCAGATGTAAAGGTTCCTTGAGTGTTTCTTTCTTTCGCTCCTAAGGATATGTGGGGACAGTATTGCAGTTTTTTTCCATTAGCATGCTGTCAACGTCAGGTTCATTTTCTAGGGATTTCTTTCTCGCTATTCCCAGTCTTATCTCGTTTGGGATCGAATAGCTTAGTAGAACTTTTGTTCCCTTTTTTCTTATCTTAGCTTTGATGACACCATGGTAGGAAGATTTCGAGAAATGAACTCATTCTGTGATTGCAAAATCAAAGTTGAAAAGCTGAGATTTGATTTAGAGTCTAGGTTGTGTCACCAGCTGAATGTGAAAGGTCAGATGCTGCTCAATTTGTATTCATCTTTCTACCGTCACAAAAGTTAGCCTGTAGTTCATTTTTGAAACAAATGGATATTTGACTTCTTGTACTAGTTGTCATTTTTAGGTTCTTCATGTAAGCATTATGCCAATTTACTTATCCTGGGATCATACAATTTTGTACCTTTCATGATCATGGATTAAAGAATTATAAGCAGAAAATTGTTTGTCTCGCCTTACTGTTTTTGACCCCTGCCTAACTTGTAGATCTTAGTTTTCTTCCGGTTAGTGAGACTTTTTTAATTTATTTAGGCGGATAAGGGGTCGACAGAAATCTGAAGGAGTTTGTCCTGGTGAGGATGTCTACGTAATACTTCACCTTGATGGTCGAGTTCGGAGATCAGGGAAAGCAAGTGCGTATGGTATCATTCGGCAAGCTTAGTGGAGATTGTACTATTACCAGGGAAACTTGAGCGGTGTTGAAGCTCACATTGTAGAGATAACAGTTCTTATTACTTGACTTGGTCACTTGATGCAGTAAAGATTGGAAGTCTGGAATTCATCAAAATTATTCCTGTCTTTCATCAGTTATCCAGCATCAGCATTTGATATTGGTAAAGCATCTAGCTGTTGAATCCATGTTATATATCGATTTTGTCAACATCTTGGTCCCTTGCCTTGTGATTGTGGAATAATTTAAACTGCTGGTAACTAGTGACTTCTTTGCAATTCTTGAGCTACCATCTGACTAGTGTATGTCAGAGCAGGACTTCTTGAACTGTAATTAGAATTTACAATTTCTCGTATTCTGCTATCGTCGCTGACTCCTATTTCTCTGCAGGGCTTGCCTGACCGGCAACAGATTGTAAATGAATTCCCACCAATAGAAGCATTCTTGAGCAAGCTGGAAAGATAGCAGTCAGTGGTTCTGCCAATTCAAAGAATTTTGAGGGAAAACAAAAATAAGCACGTTCTTTCTGCCTCTTTTGTGATCGATGTTGTGAGCTGTATACCACGCTTGGTGATATCTCATTGTGCCATCTCTGTTATAAAAGTGGTTTTACTGGAAGAAAGCTTGCCGCATTACAGAGAACCTATAATCCATTTATTTTTTTCTAAGTACTGTGAATTTTACCATGCAAATATTTAAGAGAATGGAGATACAGATACTGTTGACTAGAAAGTACTATGGTGGTTCACGTATTCTATAGTACAGCAGAGCTTCTCGGTTTTATTTATTTATATAATCAACTTCCATTCGGATCATGATGTCCCAAACGCCACGCCTTGCCTTTATTAACCCTTTGTTTCTTGGATTCTTGAACAATGTTCTCAGGGAACTGAGCTGTTCATTGGCTTCCAAGATTTGAATGCACGTTCTGCATCATAAATAATGTAATTTCGTTTTTCCAAATATCGGTCTTTGCAAATCAGGTTTCCCAGATTACTTTTGAAGATGTAGAAAGATTTGAGTAAGAATCCACCAAATACATGATAATTATTGAAAGGGAAAAGCAAAATCCACAGCTCGTACTGGTTGGGTCACTGCAGTATACTTCTCTTACATTCATGAAGAACTCAACTTTACTCCAATGGCCACTAGATTTGTTCTTGGTGAGGCTCTTTCTCAAGCAAGGGTTCCATCTTAAAGGATAGACTGTTGCAGAGAATTTCCCAAGTTAAGACACATTTTCTCTCTCAATGATGAACTGGACGTGAGCTGCAGACCTCATCTCTAGGCAGCATGATTCATTTGTAATCGTTTAACCGTGTGTGTATGCTCAGGGAAGTTCTCAACATACGACAAGATGGGTGATGGCATATTCTTCGTTTTCTTCCCTTTCGTTTTTTTTTATCAATTTCTCCTAGTAGGTATTGAACAGTTCAAGAATTATCAGATTTTCCTCATGCTAGTTAGAACCAGTTTGAACTTGTTCTGTGAAAGGAACGAGCTTGGTCAAAGATTTGACTTCACCTATTATTAAAAAATTCTCGATTCTCGGGTTAGATTTTGCTTCGTGTTCCTGTGCTGATTATTTTATAGTCCTTAGATTTGGACGTTTGGGTGGACTTGCACCGATTCCTTTCGTGAAAATTTAGGTTTTTTTAAATTTAAAATTAATTTTTATTTTATTTTTAAATTTTTTTAACATGATAATATCAAAAATAATTTTTAAAAAATAAAAAAAAAATTATTTTAATAAATTTCTAAATAAAAAATATTTTAAAAACAAATTTTATTACACTTCCAAATGTTTTCCGTACAAGGAGGGCAAGGGCAGCACCATCCATCTAATTGCATAACTACCATAAGTTACACGTTTCCATTTAGTTTAAAATTTGTTGTTAAGATTTAAGAACATATAGCATACAAGGGAAATAACTTCCGTAAGTACCAATTATTGCAATTCATTATTAAACTAATTAATAATTATGAATGAGCTCATAGACTGAAATTAATATTTTAAATGCTTTTAATTTATAAAGATGTCAAAATCATCAAAAAAATTAAAAATTAAAAATAATTTTTTTTCTCAATTTATGTGCACTTTTATAAAGAGATATACCTATCATGTTACCAAACTCATTAAATAATGAATAAAACAATTTCATATTCAATTGGTGATGACGAGGTCAGGGTGTCATATTTGTAAATAATGACAAGATTAAGGTCATTTGTCCTCACAATGAAGTCATTTGTCTTCACAATGAACTACTCGTAACCAAGTTGCTGGCCAGCTTTCTTATTAAATTACGCTTCTGTGAATAAGATGCAACACAGGAGAAGAGAAACATAGAAAAGAAGCAAGAGAAAACAAAGAAGAAAAACAATGGACAATTCCTACCGCTATCTCTTCCTCGTGTTACTCCTTTCAGCTCTGATCATCTCTTCATCCACCGTCGATGCGAGTGAAGGCCACAACCTCAACTGGGTCCCAACGAGAGCCAGAGGATGCCAAGGAACGGTGGCAGAATGCATGGGAAACGATGAGTTTGAGATGGACTCGGAGATCAACAGGCGGATATTGGCGACTAGCGACTACATAAGCTACGATGCTTTGGAGAAGGACAACGTACCATGTTCCCAGAGAGGTGCATCCTATTACAATTGCAAGACAGGTGCAGAGGCCAACCCTTATAGCCGTGGTTGCAGTGCTATTACTCGCTGCCGTAGTTGAGTGATTTTTTGTTTATCTTCTTAAACAACCACTGCAATGTTTTGTGTATGGTATGTAGTTTGTTTAATTGTTGTTTTTTCTTTTTGAAACGCATGGTCAGTCTTGTTTTTACTAAATGAATGTGAAGGGTCACATATAAATGCAGCAATTTGTTTTTCCATTGATATACATGACCATGTCCTCGTTGCTTCCTTTTTTTCTTCTCTGCTACTTTCCATTTCCTGGCTATCTTCTTGTTTACTAATTATACAAGTTGCAAGAATTTTTGAGGGGTTTTGTTTGTTAAACCATGACCATTTGGGAGAGTGAGAGGACATCATATGCTTGATGTTCTTCTTCTGAAAGATGCAAGGGAGCCCTTGATCCTTCCATTTCAATGTCCATTGTTATGGTCAAGGCATGAGAAAAATTGTAACCGTTGAATAGCCTGTTTGTATGGCTTCAAAGCGTTGAAACTAAAAGGGCAATTGAAAGAAGACAGTACTTGACAAATCTCCCCACGCCGTGAATTCTATGATTGGAACAGTTGACAAAACATCAGCCGTTTGCAATAGAGAAAGTGCTGGGAACAGCCAAAATCTTCACAATGATTAAAATTGTCGGTGATTAAAGACCTGAAGTTCAGCTAATTTCTCAGGTCCTTGCCTGCAATTTTCCTACCAGGAGCAGAGTATCTAATGAAAAGCATTAAGCTGCAAAGCAGAATAGATACAACAAGTGTTGTTCCAGCAAAACCTCCAAAAGGTGGAATCTTGAAAAGCCTTCCTAACTGGAAGCTCGTGCAAATACCAGAAATCACATTTCAGGCAAATTAGGCAGTGCGGATAGGCTCGGACTTGGTGGTTCACCAGGATCAAAAGCTCATGTGCAGATAAAAAAACACTTGAGCAAAATTAATACCTAGTTTAACCTTAAGTAGTGCCATTATAGAGGATAATGGCCAGCAATCTCATGGCAAGTTACAGAGTACACATGATGAAACCATATTAAATTAGAAGGCACAAGCGGATTAATTTTCAATCGCCATACATCATCCCAAACTTGTAAGCAAGTTTCTTCTACACAAGTAACTATTACTCCCCAGCCCCAAACCGACCATGAAGAGGGCGAACAGGGTTAGGAGCAAAACACAAATTTAGATTTCTCGCAACACTGACCATGAAGAGGACGAACAGGGTTAGGAGCAAAACACAAAACACAAATTTAGATTTCTCGCAACATAAATGTTGAGAAGTCAGCATGAAATTAAACTTGTCCTTGGATTTCCACAGAATATGTGCTTGACTAATTCTAAGCAGAACCTTCCTCTGTCTTAAACTTGGATGGAGCCAATGGAGATGGAGAACCCTCAACTCCCATTTCTTCTCTAAGCTCGTCAATGCTCTTCTCCAACTCATCTATGCGGTTTCCCATTTCATCAAGTGCATTGAAGTCAAGGAAACAAAATAAACAATGTCCATGGACCCATAAATAGTGAAAAGCACAGACAAGAATATCAGACACCTTTTCTGCATAAAAGATCATTAGTATACATGACAGGCACCTCCCATTAATATCAATCACAGAGCAAATTAGAATATGTCTGTTCCTACCCCATGTCAGATTCCCACCCCCCACCCCTCCAAATTAGAGAAGTAAAAACAATTGTAAGGATATTCTTCGAAACAATGGAGTCCGACATTGTTTGAAACCTACTTTGCTGCCAAAAAAAACAGATTCATCAGTCTGTAACGATGGTATAAGCTAAAAGGAGAAGCGAGATCTAAATGACAACTCACCATCTGCTGAAGAAGATATTGGACCTGAAAAGGCCAATACAATTAAGTCAGAATTATGGTTTAAATATAACATAGGTGCAGGTGCATTAAAAAAAAA